TACCTCTGTACTGTATAGTATCTAAAGTCTCTTGTTTTTAGCCCCCATCTTACTTTTCAGAGATTCCAAGTGTATCACTATAAACACACACACACACACACACACACACACACACACACACACACACACACAAGTTCTTCAACTGACAACAACGTATGATGAAAATAAGATGAACATAACTGAATGTGAATAGTAGTATATGGGTTATTTTATTGCAATAAAATAGTTTCTTGAAAGTAAAAGTGCAGACCATATAAAGGAAATTTAAAATATGACACAACTTTATCACAAATGAACACCATGGGAAGAAATTTTATGGCCTAAATGAGTCATGTCAATTTAACTTAACATGAAGATGCCTACATTTAGATAAAGGCCATACAAGCATAAAAATAACTAAATTCTTAAGAAATCACATAATATGTATTAATTCTAACCCATCCTTAATGAACTTACTTAATATTTATTTCATGCTATAGTATAGAGCTTCAAGAGTATGAATAGAAAAGATATAGAGAACTTTATATGTAAAATTTGGCTATTATTAAATTTAAGGGGAATATGTCGATTAGTAGAGCTTTCAAACAACCAATCAAACCCACCATTAAGCATTTTTTTTTCTTGAGGGACCATATACCATACCAGAATAATAGTTAAATGGTTTCAAGGGATAGATATATGGGAGTAAAAAACAAAGCAGGAAAAAATTGATGAGATATTTTCATTTTATTATATATCTACCATTATGACTCAACTACTATGTACATCGTACAATTTTGGCAAGATTAATTTTTAAAAAGAGCAGCATATTGCATATTCTGGGACCATATAGCAATGATTTTCATACTTTAGGTGATCAGAGAATGTGAACCTAAAATCTAGAATATCGTTTAGTTTACATGGTAACATTTGACAAGGTCATATATAGCTACAGGATTATGTTAATATACATAAAAACCCTGATTTCATGCATATACGTGTAATATATATTATACATATGCTATTTTTAAATAAAATCTAAGAAATTAAAAAAGTAAAAGAAACATAAACTAAGGGATATTAGGGCTATAGCTCATTGGCAGACTGCTTGCCTAATATAGGTAAGGCCTTGGGTTTGTATCAAAGCACTACAAGAGCAAAACAAATGGAAACCAGGGATTGATATTCATACCATACATAGTAATACTTAACTACAAATAGTAAAAGCAAACTGTATACATATAGGTGCTAAATAATTTACTTTATTTATTTAATTTATTTATTTAAATAAAACAAATGAAGCACTAACACTAGTACATGCTTAGAGAAACATATAATTGAACATCATTTATCTTATTATTTACTCATTCATTCAAGAAATATTTTCTTAGAGGGGGCTTTAATTAGGGAGGAGGGAGAAAGATTAGGAGGAAGGAGGTAAAAAATGTCAGTAAGGGTGTCAGAAAAAGTCACAAGGAATCATATCTAAGTTTATAAATGATACATGTAAATCTGTGCATAGATATACAGTTTAAATGAAGTTTTTACGTCTGGACTGACAATGCTCCCCACAAGAGCCATAGACTATCTCATAAACCCCCCCTAACACCAGGCATGAGAAGCTCCTACTGAGTTGTCCAAGAGAATCACCAAACATAGGCTGTTGCTATTGTCCATGGTTCCCCCCAAGAGCTTGAAGGTAAGTCCCTACTGCTGAAGACAACATGTACTTTGGACACAGGACCCAGAGGATCTGAGCTGGCTCTGACCCAAAAGACTCCTCCCCGAGGACTAGCATTCAGGGTACCAAAGGTGACATGCAAGCTTCCAAGGGAGGGAAGCAACAAGTAGTCCCACCCAGCTATCATGCCTATTAAGTACAACAATGACCAACATGGCATGGTATCTCTAAGGGTACAATAGTGGCATACATAGCTTGTTGGTAACCAACAGCTCTTTAACTGGACTTATGGCCCATTCAACAAGGGGAAAGTCATGGTTGGTACTGGAAACCTAGCCATGAATCTTGAAGGAAAACTGAGAACCTATTACTTCTACTTTACTAAATCAGCATAATCCCTAACTACATTCTAGATATTTATCCTTATACACACAGATAAGTGTACTTCTTACCCTTCATTGAAGAAACTTCTCTTTGTAATAGATGGAAACCATTATAGAAAACTACAACTGATCAAAATGCAGAGTTGTGAAGTCCAGTCCCAACTGATACATCTACAACACAATTCCTACACCTAAGGCTCAGGGATCATTATGGAAGAGGGAGTGAGAAGAGCCAGAGGTTAGCTGTGAAATTTCATCTCCTAGAAATGTCAGAAAAGCCACACCCAAAAAGTCTCATCAACATGGCCTGAACAAGGACAGTACCAATAGACAGGCTAATATAGAAGGGAGAGTCTTGTGGGGCTTCAGCTCTAGATAAAAAATAAACAAACAAACAAATCCCTATAGGTAACTAAGAAATATTGGGAGTAGAAAATAGTCTTCTATAAGGAAGAGTGTCCCAATTGGCTACCCAATACCATGTCTTAACTACGTGGAGTGGCCTTAATAATTTCACCAATAACAGAACCTCTTTTTTAACACTGTTTTAGAATCAGAGGAGGTGGACACTGCAGTAGTCTGAAACAGAAGTGACTCTCTGGGCTTGAGTCTTTCAACTTGTGGCCTCCAGCTGGTGGTACTGTTGAGGGAAGCTGTGGGACCAGGCTGATGGAAATGAGGCTTACAGCCCAGCTTTTGGTACTATTCTTTGCTGGCTGCTGTGCAAGGAGCTGTGCCTCACATTCCTACAGAGAACTCTGAAAGCTGGAGTTGTTTAAGCCTTCATGCCTTCCCCACCATGAAGGACTGAAATCTTCCGAAACAGTGAGTCAAAATAAGCCTTCCCTCTCTTAAGTAGTTCTGTCACTGAAATGAAAAGAGTGACTAACACAGGCTTTAAATGCTCAATCTTAATTGGTGACATTAATCCAAATAATAATAGCTTACATTTATCATTAACATAATCCTCAAGATTCCACACTAGAAAATACAATAAATAAATTAGAATAGAATATAAAATTTTACTTTACATTTTGACCAGATGATCAGTATAAACCTGTTGCTCAAATTAAGTAGCAAAATATCAATACTACTGCTGTCAATATCCAGAATACCTAAAAATGATCAAATTAAGGAATGTTTCAGAAAACAAAAGCTTCATCAATATCTTAACTGCTACTCTAAAGATTTATGTATTTCCTGTCTTTAAAAAATATTTATTACTTGTTATTTCAAAGTATAGTTAATTACATTTTTAAAAGCAAGAAATCAATTAGTTAACAGAGTTAATATCATTAAAAGGTATCCTTTTCTGTCCTCATTCTGGTCAAACCGGACTGGAAATTTCTAAAATGGTTCTGTTCTGAAGGAAAATAGTCAAACAATAATAAAAACCTAGCTAAATCCAGAAAATGGTGATGTACTAAAAATAACGGAATTATCAAAGGAATAAGGCAAAAGTACTATACTAGTAAGAATCTTTCATTTAAATTCTCTGTAATCTCTCAAACGATCATGAAGAAAACAAGAAATTCCCAAATGGAGAGGTCACTAAATACCCAGCAACACTCACCCAACTATTGGTAGGAGACCTCTTGGAGACCCAGATGCTTGAATCAGCTGAAATAGTACCAAGTTTTTACCGATTACTCTTAACAAGGCAATGGAGCATAGGCTAACTCCATACTACAACAAACTGAAAGCTATTAATTAATATTGACAACTCTACTTACTACCATTTTAAATGACTCAAAGGAAGAATAAGGAATAATGATTTCCAGTGTAAACCAAACTATACTCTGTGTTAACTTTAATCCTTAGAGATACAAGACCGACAATCATGTATGATAAACACACTGACAGAATAGTTTTTCTAAATTAGTGTGTTACAAATCTTAAAGAAAATGCATCACATACTTTAACATTGGGTCCCACTAAAAATGATGAAGAAATATACTTTTTGAGATAATACAAATTCTTCAACACTGTTTCAGTAACACACAAGCAAAGGCCTTTTGTGTTGTTGTTATTTCAGTGTTTTTAAAACATAGCTTTTGAGGCCTTTTAATTATATTAGTGATTTTTGTAATCAGGATTCTCATAACTGAATCCAAAAAACTTCAAAGAGTTAACAACTAAATGAAAGACTCAAAGATGAACAATATTTTTAATATACTATTTATATTTTTAAAATATGAAGTTATCATCTTAGCCGAAAACATATACTGGAACCTAACTTTAAAGAGGAGTAAAACAGAATCAGTGCCAAGGTAAGAAGAATAAAGCAGTGTTTTCTCAATCTCTAGAAGCTGAAGAGAAAGGTAACCTCATCCCACACAAACCCAAATGTTCCTTTCTCCAAACATCCACATTGGGTTGAAGAAAGACAACGTATAGCCACGGGAATGGCTAGGTACAAAACATGGAAGACCCTATACTTTTCCCAAGTCGTTTAAACACAAAAACTGCTTTTGTCTTATAGATATGTGTCAAGTATGGGAATAAGTGAAACAAGATCCATCTGGCTGAAATACGTCAGACAGACAAATACAGAACAGACTTTTTAATGTCAAGCATGCATACTGAAGCTGATGTCAGCTTCAGTATGCCAGCTGAAAAATGATGTAAGAGATACATTATTAGGGATAGGTCTGCAATATAATGTATCTATAACTTCATCATCATCCAACAATTTTTAAGACTTGAGAATAGCAATAAAATAATGAAAGTCAGAAGCACAAAAATATTTTGAAAGGTACCTATGAAGGAGAAATTTGAGAATAGGATGCTGAAAATAAATAGCTAGCACAAAAGAACTGATAATCTTATTGGCCCTATAAAGACAAAGAAAGAAGTAGTTAAGAATAAGTAGAGACTGACAGATAAAAAAGTCTTCCATGAGAAAAATTCAAACATTGCAAAATTTTAAATGACAAAGCAAAGCATGCCAGTATTACCTTTCTTTCGAAAGAGTGCATTTAGGTAATTTTCTGCTTGGCATTCAATCTTATCAGTGTGGGACTGGCCCTGAGATGATAGCTCCTCTGTTGGCGTTGACTGTGAAGAATCAAGAGATGGTATACAATCCTAAAATTACAAGAAAGTAACATACCTAATTACTTTTCATTTAAACCTGAATTCCAACTAAATATGTCAAAATTGTTTCAATGTTCAGTTGTTCTGCCTTTTATAAAATATCAAATTATACCCAAAGAATATAAAATCTGATAGGATTCAGGAAAAAACAAATATACTTCTAACAGGGGTCAAAATAGCCTTATTCCTTACTAAAATTATGGTAAAATATGTGTGTGCTGGGACGTGAGGGTGAGGGTGGGCAGGCACTGCTGAAAATTTTACTCTATGCATGCCAGTGAAGTAATCCTGCCAGAGGTTTAACAAAACAGATGAGCTTAAAAGATTCTTCTTATCACAAGAGATAAGGAATCAGAGTTTCTCACCACTAAGAAGATGCTGGTTACACACATCTATGTCCTCTATATAGTAGGTACATATTTCATCATGAACACAGGATATATTTCTGATAGCCAAAGACTTTAAAAGTAGTGAAAGGGTTATAAATAGTAGCATATTATCCCCTTACTACCAACTGCTAAGAATCCAGACTGTAGAGTGGTCTTATATAAACTAGGTCTCCAAGCTCACCCTTGGATACCTAAAATACCAACCTGACCTAAAGTGAAGTTCATGAGTCAGGGAGTAATAGGAAATAAATGTGAAGGACGAAAGCCAAACCAAACCAAAACCAACCAACCAACCAAACAAACAAAAATACAAAAACAAAAAAAGAACAAAAACAAACAAAACAGAAAGAAAGAAAGAAAGAAAAAGAAAGAAAGAAAGAAAAAGAAATAAAAAAATAATGAATTTTAAAACATTTAAACTAAATGTTGGACATATTCTTTTCATTCAACAAAATCAAGTATTTAAATTTTCACTGAATCACAAATTATCAGAATAAATTAAGTTTAAAAAAAAAGAACTGTGTTACAATTGTGTGATTATTTTAAAAATAATTTCATGGCACTAAAACTTACACTGACTGCTTCTCTCTGTAGGTTACAAAATGAACATTTTTCATCCATAGACCAGTCAGTCAGCTCTTCTGGTTCACAGTCTTTAAAAGAAGGAAAATATTCATTAAATATACTAACTTTATTAAAACCAGCAAAATCACCATCTTCCACAGCAATGGCAAAAGGAAAAATGAAAAATACAAAACCTAACTACTAAAAGTAAGGGGAGAAAGTCTAACTTTCAAATTAACCTCTTGATATCTAGAAAAATAAACAATAGGCCATGAGACAAAATACCAAGAAAAATGAGCTGGTTATAGATTAAGAATTTTCCAACAGAATTTTAAGTATCATCTAATCACTTCAAAGATCCAGTCATCACTATTTATTCATTTCCTTTTTATTTTCATTATGACAGTCACAACAAAGGGGGTGATAGAAGGAAGAAAGGAATAAATTTTGCACAATCTGGAAGAAAATACAGCACAGAGAATGGAAGAAAGGACCAAAGGTGTCAAGAACACCCAGATTGAGAAAATGGAATGATGCCTACAAAAATAAGTAGCAATCCATTCGGAGACCAAAAATAAGGCCATTTCCAAAAGCTTAGTTACAAGAGAGAAAGATGCAGTAAACAAATAGGGTATATCATCCAATGCAAACCATGTACTATTCTCCACAGATTAGGGTGGAGAATTAGTGCTGCTCTCAGCCTTGGTCAGAGAAATTCCTGTTTACAGTGCTGACAATTAATTCAGAGACTCATAATTCACCAAAAAGTGCCGAGAACAAATGACTGTTAAGTGCTCAGCCCTACAGGACATCTATATCACACTCCCTCCACCCTGAGACTCAGGAAACACCTTTGAAGAAGGAGCAGAATTTAAGAGCTGGAGCATGAAGAGGAGTGTTGTATTCTGGATGGGACAGAGCTATTGGACCTATGAACTCACAGAGGTAATGGTTACCTGCAGAAGACTGGGCTGATCAGACATTCCATCATAAATGCCAATTAGGCCCACTTCCCCATGAGGAGTTAAAGGCAATTAGTACATGCTGGCAGAAGGGAAGTCCTGTCTGCAGTAGTGTAGCCACTGGTAAATTGTCCTTGCTCAAGTAAATAAATCAAACCCATGCAACCAACTCTAATTAAACACAGAGGGGCATGAAAAACTTAGGAGAGTTGGGCCGAGGGGCTCGGTGGGAGGGAGGTTAAGTGAGGATATGTGGACAGTGGAAATACAATCAAAGCACATTATAAACATGTATGAAATAGTGACAATAAAATTTAAACCTTAAATAACTTTCATTTTTTCCCCTGAATATTAATTTTTATAACCCAACAGTTCTAATATATTAAAGTTTCTGGAATACAAAAACACTTATCTGCTAAGGACATTTTAAGAAGGCATGGTAACATTGCCATTCTAATTACATTTAGTAGATGCACTGATTTCTTTTTGTTGTTGTTGTTTTGTTTTGTTTTTCGAGACAGGGTTTCTCTGTGTAGCTTTGCACCTTTCCTGCATCTTGCTCTGTAGACCAGACTGACCTTGAACTCACAGAGTTCCGCCTGCCTCTGCCTCCCAAGTGCTGGGATTAAAGGCATGCACCACCATCGCCCGGCTTAGATGCACTGATTTTTAAAATCACTGTTTACGGTCGGGGTGGTGGTGGTGCATGCCTTTAATCCCAGCACTCAGGAGGCAGAGGCAGGCGGATCTCTGTGAGTTCGAGGCCAGCCTGGTCTACAGAGCAAGATCCAGGAAAGGCACAAAGCTACACAGAGAAACCCTGTCTTGAAAAACCAAAAAAAAAAAAAAAAAAAAATCACTGTTTACAACAGAATGTCCTTCCAATTTTTTTGCCTAAATAAATTTGCATGCAGAACCTTACATACAAAGTCTTTACCATCTGAGACAGCTATACAATGGCTAAATGGAAACTATTAGTGTGCTACAGAAATTCTTTCAAAAAGCAAAATGGAGCTGAAGACATGTCTCTGCTAAGTTACATAGAAAATAAAGTGTACCATTCCTAGAATGATAATGAACAAAAAACTGATTAACGTCACTCCTAGGGCCCTTTTACATTAATCAAACAGAGTGGATGATCATATAAATCTGTAGAAAGAATGCAAAAAATTTGTAGAAAGATTTTTGTAGCACAAAAGTACTTACATACATTTGCAAAGAGCAGTATGTGGGAACATTAAGACCCAGTACAGGGTAATGGAAAGATACTCGAAGACTAGAAATCTAGGCTGGAAACACATTTAATAGCTATGACTTTTCAGGACACAAAGTTTTGTTTCAATTGGATTATGTGTTCAATGTGCATTATATATTGTCAAACATTTGATAAGGTGCTTTTGTAGAAGACTAAATATCTACTTAAGAACATATCATCACTTTTCTTTTTTTCTTTTTTGTTTTTTCCGGGACGAGTTTCTGTGTAGCTTTGGAGCCTATCTTGGAACTCACTCTGTAGACCAGGCTAGCCTCTGCCTCCCAAGTACTGGGATTAAAGGTGTGTGTCACCACCACCGACTGGCATGAGTTCACTTTTCTACAGACAACTTCACACACAAAACCTTTAAGTAATCTAACAATTATTTAGATTCCTGGGTTGGAGAGATTCCTGGGCTGGGGAGACAGCTCAGAGAGTAAAGGTACTAGCTATGCAAATCTCACAACTCATCTTGATCCCCAGAAACCACATTTAAAAAGCCAGATGTAGTTTCATGAACTTGTAATCTTATCACTCCCATAGTAAGATGAGAGGCAGAGGTAGGAGAATCACTTGGAAGCTTGTGGCTAGCTAGCCTAGAATATGAAGTGCAGCAGTGTAAACAAGAGACTCTGCCTTCAAAAGGTGAAGAACTGACTCCCCGAAAGTTATCCTCTGATCTCCACATGCACAAAAAGACACACACTCGTGCACACACAGACACATACCCCAAAAACTTGGGGGCAGGGAATGAGTCCTTATAGAACTTTAGCTATGTAAGCTTACGCTGTTTTGATCCTGGAATGAAGAAGTATGTATCATTCATTGCTGAGACTTTGAAAGAAAAAGTATAACCCGACCCCATTTGAAACAGGGTCCTGCTTTGTAGGGTCCAGGTGGCCTGGAACTCATTATGGACCAGGATAGCTTTGGATTTGTGGAGATCCTCCCCTCTCCACTGCTAGGGTTACAGATGTATCCCACCATGTGGGGCTCTCCCCTAGTCACCTGCACTTTTCACCATCACCACAAGAACTTGCCCCAGGTGTAACCCTGGGACTTGGGAGTAATAAGGAGAAAACATGGTCCTCATACACAGACTCGAGTTCCGTTTCCTCAGATTACTCTTAAGTTAGTCACAGAGCTCAGAGCTCCTTCTTTAATGTAGGATTAGTGTTGTAAAACATGACTTACACCAAACAGAACAGTTCTGAAGAGTCAAGAAATTCTTACCAATTTTTATTTTTATCATGGCTTCATGAGAAAAATATAACATGGAGATTTTTAAAAAATGGATAAGAGACTTAGGAAGACATTTCAAACAAACAACAACAAAACAAACAAACAAAAAAGCCTGTTGTATGGGGAACAGAGGGATGTCTCAGTGGTTAAGAGCCCTCACTGACTGTCCTACCAAAAGACCCAGGTTCAAAACCCAGCACCCACATGGTGGCTCACAACCATCTATAATCCCAGTTCCAGAGAATCTGATGCCCTCTTCTGGCCTTCCTGGGAATCAGGCACATACATGGTACATAGACATGGATGATGGCAAAACACATATGGGTGTTTTTTATGCATTAAAAATAAAAAATTTAAAAATGTATGGATCCAATGCATTTCAATACTAATGAATGTTGACACAGGTACAGCACTTTCAGATTAGTTAAAATAACTATCAGTTGTAACATAAAAACTGAGGCATTGCATGCTAAGGCCAGTCTAGTCATTTTAGTAGGAGTTCTTTAAAGAAAGAGTAACTAAAATAAGCCTCCTACATAAACACCTAAAGGCATTATATGCTGCCACACACAAAAGTATATAGTTTTATTTATAAATATTTTTACTTTCTTGGTACACAATTTCTACTTTGAGCCCAGTGGTGGTGGGACATACTTTTTCTTTCACAGAAATCTTTGGAAAAGCAGATTTTGAAAAATCAACTATAGACCAAATTTCTTCTCTTTCATGTCATTAAAAATAAATATGCAACCACTCTATGAAAAAAATGACAAATATTCATCTCTAAATTAAGTTATCTCCATTTGAAAACTTTAATATGTGAAAACAGAGGCTCAAAAAGATTTAAATAATATACCTTTATAGAAATAGGTATGTTGGTATACACTTAATAATCCTAGTACTCGGGAATCTGAGGCAGGCAGATTGACAGAAGTTCAAGGCTGGCCTTTTTCACACAGTGAACTCCAGACTATCTAGGGTTACAGTAAGACCCCATCAAAAATATAAAAAAAAAAAAAGGCTTATTAATAAAAGGCAATAAAAAACTACTAGTAAAATCTAATATAGGTCAACTTTTCCATTGTGGTTTGTACTCTTGTGATTAAAGTCTGATTCTAGTCATTTTATCTGTTCTGACTTGGAAGTTATCAGACTTTGAAATTTGAGAAACAGCACTGTACAGGGACATCCTACATACTAGTTGTGGCCTCAAGCAAGTATACTTTTCCAGGCTTCAGTCTCTTCTTTGGAACATTAATCGAGTAATACTTGAATCTTAAGGTTGTAGGAAAAGTTAAATAAAAACATGTAATATATGTAAGTTCAAAAGATGCAGCTTTCATTTATTTTTAACACTTTATTCTTTTTAGTATACTTTATTCACAGAATATAAATTTAGTTTCCAAAGACAAACTTCAGTGAAGGGTAAAAAACTTAAGATTTTATTTTATATTGTTCATTTATTTTATGTTGCTCATTTTATGTCACTCATGGTTTTAAGTTTACTGATTTCTGGGAAAGATGCTGAACAACACACAAAATAGCATTATGGCTACAGCTGCAACTCAGTGGTAGAGTGTTTGTCTAGCATGCACAAAGTATGGGTCTGAATCCTATAACACACATGTGC